ATTAGAAGCATTTTTCTATTTACTATATAAAAATCTAATATACCGCGTAGATCATATGAAAAATGATCTACATACACCCTACCCTTAAGTTAATGTCATTCCCATGTGCTGCTATTGTGCTGCCGTATAATTGTTGTTTCCACCTCTAAAATAAATATCTATGAGCATGAATAGATTATTTTAGTTGATCTCTAATACTCACTTAATACAATTAAACGAAAATGATTAATTTATTTTAATTTATTTTAAGTACTTCGACTATACTGAAATTACAGTACGTATATAGTGTGGAAATTTGCGTGTAAATTTGATATGTAATTTTTTAATGTAACTAACGTCCAGAATAGAGCTGGCACAAAGTCTAATAATGATGGTAATGCAGATCAATAAGTACCACTGCATTAATTAATGTATCGGGTATGTATAAATTGTATTTTTAAAAAGTTATGAAAACAGCTGTAAGTCCGGCACGGCCCGTTTTGCGGGCCGGGCCGGGCCGGGCTTTGGGACCCAATGCAGGTCTCTAGTCTGAACCCTCAAAATATACACTAAGTATTGTAATAATATTTCATACGCATAATATTGTAATTAACTAAATAAAAACAGATAAACAAGAGGTCATCTTAATACCAACAACAATATTAATGTTTTATTTTGTATATATTTTAATTAATCAATCAAATAGTATACAGTATATTTATATTTTATATTCGAATATTCGAATATACTATTCATCGAGTCAGACCTCTATTAGCTACTAAGGAATCTTGTACGTACGCCCAATTAAGATCATAATTACACAAAAGTTATGTTTGTTAGGCAGGTTTTTAATATCCGTAACGATAATCCGTACGTACTTGTAAAATTTTCAATTACTGAATGATTGGAAAATTCTCGATTTTCCGAGGTACTCGGCGGTATGACAAATAATTTTTTTAAATACGTACGTACGTACGTATTTATATATGTTGTGCCTCAGTCGATGATCGACCAATCAGCGCAAATTAAAAAGAGAAACATATGAAAATCACTTCTTTAGTACATACGTACATTAATAAAAAATGTTGGGGAAGAAATTTTACCTACGTACGTACGTATACGTACGTAGCACCTCTTCAATATAACCTCAAAATGGTCCTTAACCCTGATAATTTTTCAAAACTATAACGCTTTAGCCGACCTCCTCAGATGTTGGTTTTTTGACCATCATTAACTGATTGACATTGATCGGCCTTACCTTAACCTTAACGTTAACTTAACTTAGGGGTTGTCTGAAGCGGAATATTTCACGTGACACGCGTCCAATCAGCTTACAGAAATTTGATAATGAAAAACTTGAAAAATATAAAAAACGGAGTCGCAGGAAGGCAATTTAACTAACCATACCGATACGTAATATGAATCTACACTAGGGATGTTAAAAGTCCGGTCCAGTCCGGTCCGACTCCACGAGTCGAGTTTTAATCTTGACTCGGTCCCGAGTCAGACTTGGGACCGAGTCCCAGTAATCTCATAGTAGTCACTTTAGACGCCCCTGACTTAAGCCGATTGACATCTGAGGCAAGAGTCACGACGTATTTGTGTGTAATGCATTGCGCATGTGATTTTTTAGCGTTTTCAACAAATTACGTATGTAACATATTACGTATGTTAACATTAAATGCTTGAAATAGCATAAAATAGCATATCGATATGTACACAGACCATTATAAACACCGATTATAGCCTATATATAATATATACTGTAATACAAATTCTTGCGTTTTTTGACACAATTACTAAGTGTTCTGTTTTATCTTTCGTAAATTCACAAAAATGGGTCTTGGATTTAGTTGCCTCGGCCTCGGTGCTGCTTCTTGGGTGACTTCTGCGGTCGCTTCTTGCTTTTCTGCAGCTGCTTGTAACTTAGCATTCAAGTCATGTAATTGTAATAATTCCATTGCGACGAGAGTCGGCTTTGCTGTAAATATTTCTCTTCTAATCTTTGTATTTTCTACGTTTACACTACATACTTATAATTTTATTGTCCTTTTTTTTATATAGCTTATATTTATCATGAATTCAATCGCAAGTTTACCGTTTTATATATTCATTATACCTTATCGTATATTGAATACAAATCTTATTGCACTATTTTATTTCAACAATTGCAGCTTGCTTGGATAATGTTATCAGATTGGGCATTAAAACAACTAGAAAAAATTAGTTATCTAAAATTAACTTGTAAAAAAGATGATGAGGAGAATGGAATTTGTTACGGTGTACTAGCAGTAAGTTAAAATTTTCAATATATATATCTTTTAATGTAATATTAAAATTAATTTTATCGAGTATTATATAGGTACATCGTATATGCTTTGCACTTTCATTGTTCCATTTTATTTTAGGACTTCTAGTCATCAAAGTTAATGATACTCGCGATAAGCGTGCTGCCATCCAAAACGGGTAATACAAATATTTAGTACAAACTTTAATAAAATTTAACGCATTATAACCCATTATATATTATATATCTAACATTCTAGCATTGACATTTTATAGATGGTGGGGTCCTAAAATCTTGTCGTGGATAATTCTTATTATAATTTCCTTTTTTATTCCTAATGGTTTTTTCATGTTTTGGGGAAATTATATCGCTTTAATTGGTGCTAGCTTGTTTATTATAGTTGGTTTGATACTTTTAGTTGACTTTGCACATACATGGAGTGAAGCTTGCATTGAGAGATTTGAAGAAACCGAGGACAATAAATGGAAATATATTCTTGTTGGATCCACAATTTCTTTGTTTTGTTTTGCGATTATTCTTACTGGCATCATGTATGGTTACTTTGCAGGAAGTGAATGTCGTCTCAATCAATTCTTTATCACATTCAATCTCATACTATGTGTTATCGGGACAGTCGCATGCATTCATCCTAACGTTCAATACGCAAACCCCCGTTCTGGACTTTCACAGGCTTCAATTGTTGTTGTTTATTGTACATATTTAATCACAAGCGCGGTGGCGAATGAACCGGGCGATTGCAATCCGTTGACAAAAAGTAGTGGAACTCGTACAACAACTATCGTTATAGGGGCCATATTTACCTTCCTGGCGATTGCATATTCGACGACACGAGCCGCTAGTCAAGGCAAGGCATTAATAACTAAATCGGATTATCATCCTTTAAATACTGCAACAGCAGTACCTTTGATGACTAACCAGCCAAACGGATTCACTCCCAACATGCGATCTGATTCGGTGTTGGCTGCTTCTGTTGAAAGTGGGTGAGTAATATACGAATATTAAATTTTTCTTGTTATATTTGAACTTGTTATAACGTTGTTATTTTGTTCTTTAAAGTGCAATGCCTGCTTCAGCGCTAGATGAAGACGACGACGATGATTATGGCCGTGACGACGAAAGAAGCGGTGTCGCCTATAGTTATGTATTTTTCCACCTCATCTTCGCTATCGCGTCTATGTATGTCGCAATGCTTCTTACAAATTGGTAAGTATCAGATATATACCACTTACGTATTTTTAATTTAGTTTATTGCTCAGTATTTAATCTTGACAATCATAGGAATAACGTTTCTACGGAGGACAACGACAATGGTGAACTCGTTAAAATTGGGCAAACGTTTATTGCCGTATGGGTCAAGGTCATTTCAAGCTGGGCTTGTTTCTTATTATACGCATGGACTTTGATTGGACCAGTACTGATGCCCGATCGATTTGAGGTAACTGTATAGATTCTTATTTCTTTTCGACAATATTTATTTTAATCATTTATTTTATTTTAAACGAATTACTTAGGAATATTACTGAGAATTTAACTTTTGAGAATTAATTTTTTTCTTGTAGTGACTAAGTGTTATAGATCTTTTACACATTTTTATTCATGAATAAATTATAAATTTTGTAAATTTATTTTAACTGTTAGGGATTAATTAACGTTCTTTTTATTCTCTTAAACTCAATGAATGAATCAATTAAATTTATAAAAAACATAATATATTTGCGAAATGAATCAAAAATAAAATTCTAAGTATAATGAACTTTTATAAATTATTTAATAAGAAAAAAAAAATGCTAATATAATCGCAATTGTGAACTTATTTTTATATCCGTATATCAGTTGAATTCGTGAATAATACCAATAGCTACAGTGCGGACAACCTAGTCCCAACAAATGAAAATTTTAGCGGCCAAATTTAAATTTAAATTTTTATATATATGATACGGCCAAATTTGAAATTTTAATTTAATGTAATCAATTTAATATATAGAGTGCCGCTTAATAGAATATTTTAAGTGGCCAAATTGCTTATTTAATTATAAAATTGCCTCGACTTTAATTCTCTACTATTTTATTAAAAATA